ACATGCCAACCTGGAGGCACTTAGTCCTATCCTTGTACTTGCCCACAGAACAAAATAAATTAATGATCATCAAGGGCAGCAGAGCTCTTGTTGTATTCAGGAGACCACTGTATTGGTGGTACCAAATCACCGTGTTTAGGAGGACAGAACTACGGGGGAGGCAACCAGGGGACTTGGTCTCAGGCCAGTGGGTACCATTTAGGGAGATGCAAGCAGAAGAGTCAGAGAAGCTGAACGACTTCCTTTTATCCCAAAGACACAGATCTATTCATTTCAATAGTTGAATCAGACTACAAGGGAGCAAATGACCAATGGAGCTAAAATTAGTTTTTTACCTCTCAGTAAAAAGGAGACATCATAGCGATTTAGAGAAAAAGAAACTGATTTCTTCACACATCTGAGAGGAGTGAGTAATTCTGCAACTGTGATGCACACACAAAGGCTAGGCAGATGTGAGTTTCAGCAGTCAAAATCAAATTACAAGGCTGCCACCGACTTGCTCCCTCCCTCTCCATAACAGCAAACAGGGAGGCCCTTTCTAAGGGCCTGGTCTTTCCCCACTGAGGTCCACATGCTTATTTTTAGCCAGTATAAAAGCATGTCCAACAACCTCAACCACAATGTTCAATGTGGGCAAACCACCTGCCCCTCTCAGGGCTTATGGTGACAGCGGGCTCTTCTGTGTCCAGTGAACGGAACTGCAACTACTCTCCCGTGCCTCTAGGAGTGCCGGACAGTGGCCACACCAGAAGGTGGTCATCCACTGGTCTCTCCAGTCGCCCCTCACCCCCAAGATGAGAGGAAAATGCTGAAGACCAGCAGAGAAGGAGAGGAACAAAGCTGGTGATAAAAGGCTAAGGAGTCAATAGATTTATCCTGCAGGTTAATACACATTTTGGGAAAGAGATGTAGCATTCAGCGTTGCAAAAGTTTGCTATTTCTATAAAAATGGAAAATGAGAAATGAAAATGAAATCTTTTCCAAGTATAAAAACAACCCCACGGGACATGGTGACACACACTTGTAATCCCAGCACTTAGGAGGCTGAGGCTGGGGGATCATGAGTTTAAAGCCAGTCTTGAACCCTTAAGACTCTTCTCAAATTTTTTTTTTAAAAAGAGGGTGAGGGTGGGGTGGAAATAATGCCAGTGTGGTAGTGCATGCCTGTAATCCTAGCTAGTAGGTAGGCTAAGGCAGAAGGATCACAAATTCAAGGTCAGTCTGGACAATTTAGCAAGACCTTGTCTCACAGTAAAAGATACAAAAAATAAGACTGGAGGTGTAGCTCAATAGCAGAGCACTTTACCAGACTATGTGAAGCCCAAGGTTCAATTCCTAGTACTGCAAAAACAAACAATAATGATAACAAACTACATAGCAGTAATAATACCTATGTAGTGGAGTCTTATTTTGGAGGATCAAGTACAACTATTTATACAAAGTGATGTTATTTAATAAATGGAGTTACATTCAGTAAATGTCAGTTCCCTTTTCCTCCTACCCTTTTCTTCCTGAGATACAGAGTTAGACTGCACTGGAGGCGGGGCACGTCCCTTGAATGGCATGTTGGTTTATTTTTTCCTGCTTTTCTGAAGCAAGAGATCATGCAGAAGATGGGAGGAAACAAATAACCTACTGGTGTAATCTTCTCTCCCTAGTGAACACTGTCCATCCTTCCTGAACTTAAAAAAAAAATGATCAAAGTCCAGCTGGCTCTAAATTATTTAGCTACCCCAACAACTTGGGAAGGAGTGTTCTGTTTATCTCTGTTAAAGATGGGAACAAAGCTTTAAGAAAACCTATCCCAGAAAGGCCCCTTCCAAAGTAGAGGGGTGTGTCTAACACATAAGACGGCAGGACAGATGAGCTATGGGGTCAGGCCTGGCCATGACTTTGTGTTTCTTCCTGATCAAGGAAGATGGTGTCAATCCTACCAGATCCCCATCAGACTCATGAACACAGAGCTGAGTCTCCAGTCCACCTCTCCTCACATTAATTCACAATCATGGAGCCCTTTGCTGGCCCCTCTTAGATTTCCATTCAAGCGCTCAAACTTCAAACTCACTGAGGCCTCGCCCTACTTCCCCTATTCTTCAACCACCAGAGAGCTTTCTTGAGAAGAAGCAGAGGCTGAGGATGTGGGAGTCTTAGCTGCTGACACACACAAGTGCTGACACTGGAAAGTACCGCTGCTGAATCAAAAAGCCACTTCTGAGAGATGACAGCAGTGCTGAATGTTTGCTTCCTGGCACACTGCTGATTTGGTCCAGAACACTGAGGCCAACATCTTGCCTCTGTCCTTTCATGCCTTAGTTTCCTAGCATGTGGGAAGGGTAATGACAACAAAAAGAAATTGCTACCTACTGCCCAACCTGTCATCACTGTAAGTGTGAATGACCTGACCAGCCTCCGAATGCTATGAACAATAATTAGTATTTACTGTGTATATACTCGGAGATGAAAGGTGCTCAAATTATGCAGAGCTGAAGCAATCAGTAAGGTGTGCCAAAGCATCCTTTAGCTTATAGACTGAACTTTGATTTTGTCCAGATAGAAAATGTTAGGTACCAATTATTTTACTTCTTCCTTTCATAAAATATTTTATCCTGCCCCCTTCCAGGTTTGGAGTATAAACAGCTCTGCTGGAGTACAAACCCCACTTCTTCCAGTTAAAATGTTCAGTATTATCATTTTTAAATTAGTGAACATCCTCTAGATTCTTCTCTGCAGCTGTACCAACTAAAGGAAGTACTATGTAGGTTTTACTTTGATTCATTTTCACCTCCTCCTCTTTTTAACAAAACAAGTAAAATTTGTAGGACTGCAATTCTGTAAGATCCTGCTCAAACTGAATCTTGAAAGCTGCCTTTGTTTCTGGTTCCATTTTCAAGTAAGCTTCATTTCAGACTTACTCTGGAAATGTAGATGTTCATTTACTCTTGATCCACTTCATCTTTGCTCCCAACCTCAAACTTCAAGAGCAAAAAAGGAAAGGTTTGCAACAATCACTTGAAATCTGCTATTCCAAGCCAGGCGTGGTGGCCTATGCCTGTAATCTCAGCACTTGGGAGGCTGAAGCAGGAGGATTGTTGAGAGTTCAAGACCAGCCTGGGCTACAAAGTGAGCTCACAGATGGCCTGAACTGCACAGTGAGACTGTCTCCAACAGACAAAAAAAAAAAAAAGAAATCCACCATTCCAGACTTCTGATATAAGAGATGCCACAGGGGTGGGAGTAGGCCTTCGCTGCTCTGATGGGAAGCAGTGTGAACAGGAGGAAGTGGGTACGCAAGGAGGGGCTGAGGACTGAGGGTTTCACCCGCACAGTCAGCACCTATAGACTGATGAAGGCTGCACAGGCCCTCGGGCAGCACTCCACTGGAAGCTTCTCTATCTGTCAACATCAGAAGGACTGATAAGTCAAGACCCTGCACTCTGTGAGCACTCCTCAACCCTGTCAGCCACACAGCATGCTTTGAAGTCTGGCGACTGTTTCTTGTAAGACTAAAGCTCTTCCCTGTCCCCGCTTTCTCCGTGCTCCTCCTGAAAGCCACGCTTTTACACACATTCCTCTTGGGAGGTCCCATTACACTCTGGCTGTACTGGAAATTAATTTCCAATGGCAGGATGGCCACAGTGCAGCTTATATCCTTAAAAATAAAGTCACTATCAGCATCAAAACAATTAAATAAAAATGAGTTCCTACCCCTGGCAATTTTGGTTTGGATTTCTTGCTAGTGCTACACAGTTTCTAAGCACTTCCGACCTTGTATTTTCAGTTCCTTTTTTTCCTTTTGCACCAACCTATTGAAAACCACCAAAAAGAAGGTAGACAGATTCTCTTTATTGGGGCTGGGGATTTAGCTCAGTGGCACAGCACCTGGCCAGCAAGCGCAAGATCCTGAGTTCAATTCCTGGTACCCGGGGGGCGGGGGTGGGGGGACAGATTCTTTTTATTAAAAATTTATCCTCAAACCAATTACTTAATTAAAGTACTCTTAGGCCCTCTATCTAAAGTGATGGACAATGTGTTTCCAAGTATGCAGACCTGCTGATTTTCTGAAGACAGCTGCAACCATGTTTATCTCCATTTCTGTAACTTGGCCACCAGTATACCTTTCTGACTGCTTGGTTGCTTTGAGATCACTTGTAATATGAAGACCTACTGCCGGAGCTCGAGTGGGTAGTGATGATTCTCATTTGAACACAGTCAGAAGACTGGCACGGTGTCCTGCCAGGTAGCATTTAGTGACCACAGGACTAAAGATACTTCCAAGAGTTGGGATTTTCCTGAGTGTTCTTAACAGCTAACAGCTAACAGCTAACGGAGAAACAAATCTATCTTACGAGGTGTCAGGCATGGTTGGTCCACCAAGAACAGTAGTTTTCACAATTTTGTGTTTTGCCAATCATTTTGGCAGGTTAAAAATCCCCCAAACATTCACCTACCCCACAAATTGCCATATGCCAATGAAAAAATAGTAAACTTATATTTATTGGGAAGAAAGTCAAAGTTTTTGCAGAAGACAGGGACAGTGGAAATTTAACAAAACTCAGGATGCCCAGGGCTTAAGGATCTTAAAAAATATTTATTGAGGTTCTTTGATTCCTCTGAGGAGTTAATCATACATAATACTCTAAGCATTTTTTGTCTTGGTATTGAGCTGACAGAGTGAATCTCTCTGTCTGTTTTGTTTTGTTTTTAGTTTTTTGAGACAGGGTTTTGCTCTATAGTTCAGTCTTACCTGGAACTCACTGTGTAGCCGAGGCTGGCTCAAACACCCAGCAATCCTCCTGCCTCAACTTCCCAAATACTGAGACTACAGGCACGTGCCACCACGCTTGGCTTGAATCAGCCAGGTGACTGATGATGTGCAAACAGAGTCCCTCATCTTTATGGAGTGTGAGATGGGAAGGAACAGCAGTAGCCTGAGTTCCTGAACACTTGAAATGTTTAGAACTCATTGATTAGTTTACTTGATTGGTTAAAAATGTTTCTCCCTAGAAACTGGTAGGTAAAGAAAGAAGGGTCCAAAGTGGTCACCAAAACGGCCGGATGTCCAAACACACTTTAGGCCAAAGTCTTTGCTTAAAAGAAAAGAAAAACAGGCAATAGGATTGGATGAGGCCCTTCTGAGCTCCAGTCTCTTGGGCAACAGCTTCTGCTTGCTCTGAATGCCGCTTGTGCAGGCAGTACAGCTGGGCAGCAGGGCTTCAGCTACACAAGTGTTGGCTGGTAAGAGGAAATCAAAATAATCCCCATTAAGTTCTCATTATCCTAAAAATTAGAAACTCTAATAAGCGGCTTCCAGCACAAGCTGAGCAGCAGGAGGGCACCTCTGATGGATGCTGCCCTTGGAAAGATGTCACTGCTGTCACCGTGGGCAATCTCACTGCCCGACTGCCTCAGAGCAGTGCCGGCAGGGTCAATCAGACACCCAGGGCTCAGACGCCGTAATGAAGAGACCGCAAAGCTGCCCAGAAGCATGAGAGAGCACTGAAAGAGACTCTTGGCTACACAGGCGATGGTTTTAACCCTGAATTTTGTTAACTGTTCCTCAGGATTGCTCTCAAATAGATTTAACTTCTTTTTTTAAAGTGTGGTGCTGTCTAACGACAGGTAAAGCGCCCATTAAAGGAATCACTCACCTCCGTGATTCTAAAACTGGTTCTCACCATATTTCAAGTTGGGCAACCTTGGGAAGAAGAAGGTAACCAGGGAATGCTCACGCCTCTGGCAATGAACAACTGCGCAAACACTCTTCTCGCACACCTGCCAAGCGGCTGCCAGTGCTTTCTGTCAGACTGCCGCGTCTCACCTGCTCTGGCATCGTCTTGGCATCGTGTGGTCCAGTGGCGCAGCATCCTCTCGTGGCACCGAGCCAAGAGTGTGCCTGGCAGCACTTGGCGCCGTACAGCGGTCTGCAGGGCCCTCCGAGCTCCCTTCAGCACACTCCTACTGAAGCAAAGCAGAGATTATCAAGCAGCAAAGCCTGTTGATGTTATTACCCTGATGTGTAATAAATCTACGTGGTGCGATACATTAAGGCAAGGCTCTGTTCTCACTTTACAGGCTGCCAATGGTTTTATTGTAACAGCTTGAAGATGTGAGTTTTCCTTTTTAGGCAGAGTAGAGGAAGCTGTGAAATTTGAAGACAGAACAAAAGGATACTTGAGAGTAGTTTGCAAGACAGGTATTGCACACGAGTCAGCTCATCAGGACATCCAACATGTAACATTTTTATGCTTGATATTAGGGAACTGGAGAGCCTTACAATGCCCACAAGAATTCATTGGAATTCATTTTTATACCAATGCCTCACCGGCTCTGTTCTGCTTAGCTGACCTCCCACATCAGACTTACAGACTTTTCTCAGTGATAAACCTGAGCTGATTGTGAGATCACAAATTGGTTCTGGAGCTCATTAAAGTCAGCAAATGAGCGTTGGTGAGATTCCTGCCTAGAATGGAGTTGTGATAATCTGTCTGTTTGGGCAATTACAGCTCTGGGGGGCGAAAAGAGGGATGGTGAGAAACCCTCGATCTCCCAGGACTGTGATCTATTTCAGATGTCTGTCAAGAGACGCACATGCCCTGGTGTTTTTTCCTTCACACGAGACATCCCGGGGTACAGGAGGCAAGGGAAGGACTTGAAATGTGTCTGACCGTGTTCAAAGCCCAAGCAAGGTTTTGAATCACCTGACACTTCATTCATTATTTGTATTTATTTCTGTCAAGATTCCTCCTCTTTGGTTGCAGATTCTATTTATTCTCTTTTATAATACAGCCCTAAATTTAGAGAAGAATGTTTCTAAATTTTCATTGGTGTATATTAGCACCACTTTCGTTTTTTCTTGCTTGCTTGCTTGCTTTTTTTTTGGTCTTTTTGAGACAGGGTCCTGCAATGCAGTTCAGGCTGGCCTTGAGCTCACTTTGCAGGCCAGGCTAGTCTTGAACTGGCAACAACCCTCCTGCCTCAGCCTCCCTAGTGCTGGGATTACAGGCGTGCACCACCACATCTAGCTAGCACCTCTTTCTTTTAAAAACTCACATGTTATGCCATTTAAGATTTCTTAACCCTCTGGTTACAGAGCCTTCCTTTGATCTTTCTCTTCCATCTTCACCTAGACTGGTAAGCTACTTTCCCCTAAACTAGAGTGCTGGGCTTCTCCTTTAGGTATCATTGTATCCTCTGAACATATTAATCTATTGAGCACATGGTTGATATGGAACATAAAATTTTTTTGTAAGTTGACTTTCAAGATAATCTTCCATTCACCTCACTCTATAGCCACAGCTTTGCTCCTCTAGCTTGCCATCATCCCTGTGCAGTGCTGAAAATCTATGCACTCGTTTTGGCCTTCCAGCCAAATATGACCAAATCCCTGAGTAATCCCCTAGGCAAAACCCTCACACTCACCCTGTGCTCCTCCTTAGAAAAAAATGTACTCGTACGCTTCAGTTTCGTTTCTTAACAGCAGATGCAAACATAGGAAACTTCATTCTCTGCATTTAAACATTCTTGTTAATTCTATTTTTTCAGAGTGTCCCCCTACTACATTCTGCCTCTAGTTAAGCTATAATAAGCTTAGTCAATAGGAACTCTGGAAAAATTGAGGTCATAATGTGACCTCTTCTGAATGTGGTTTGAATTTGGGGTTTGCTCTTTTAGCTCAAAATTAATATTGTAAATTTATTGGAAATATGTTTTCTACTTTCCGGGCTCAAGCTAAAATTTTTTACACCCAAAGTTTGGTATCTTTTCTGGGTTTTTTTCTATCCAATACTACCCCTGCCCTAGCATGTGCGCGAGCGCGCGCGCGCGCACACACACACACACACATACAGAGAGGAGAGAGAGAAAGGAGAAAATGGATGGAGTTCCTCCTTGCATTCCCCTTAGGTTGTATCATTGTTTGGAAGTCACTGGTTCTCATCCAGGAGCAGATATGAACAAAGTAAGAGGTTTTAGCACAGCCATATGAAGAGCATAAAACTCAGGCTTGAATCTTTAAGGCTCCTCTGGCTTGTGGTCTTCTTTCTAACGAATACACAGATTCACGTCAACAAGCACTTACTGACTTACTTTTACCCAGTATTTTACTGTTCCTTATAATATCTAATTTAATTTAATCCTTAATCTTTAAGGTAGATATTAAAAATGAGGAAACACATCTTGGGAAGTAGGAGATGACTTGTATTGAGTGGAGAGACAGAATTTTGGATTCCAATCCCATTTCTTCTTGTCTGATATTTAACTTTGTGCTAATATACAATTCTGTATTCAAGAACTAGAATTCTCTGTAGGCCTTGGTTGTTCTTAAATAATCTACAAAGTACAGAAATCTTATTATGATAAATACCATTGTAACAAAATTTCATTCAGGAGCTGTCTTCGGTTCCTGTCCTTCATCTAATAAACAATGAATATTTTGTATTTTTATTTGTTAAATCTAGCAAAGATAATCATAGTAGTCTGCCTTCTACAAACTCAGATATCCATATATTGGGGCTGCTTAATTACCAGTTTACATATGCTTGAATTTTGTTACAGAATATAATATTAATTCACATCCACAAATGAGGGCAAACTTTCTTGGATACATTTTCCCTCCACTTATTGAAGGCTCAGCTATTTGGTGCCATCCTTCTTCCTGATAGTGCAGCTCAATGCAAGCTTGTCTCGCCTGATAAGAAAAGAGTTTGCTTACTCTTGGCACATTCTGGCCCCCTGCGTACATCGTGCAGTTTCTTCAGTGGCCAGCTGTGTCCTGCCTGCCTGGTGTTCATCATTACCCAACCTCTGTACTGCAGGGATCTTTGACTTCTTTTAGGAGTTGCAGAGCTGCACAGAGGAGTAGCTGCTTCCTTCCAGATAACAAGGTTTTCACAAGGAAATGGCGGCGCATGCCTGTAATCCCAGCACTCAGAAGGCTGAGGCAGGAGGATCGCTGTGAGTTCAAGGCCACCCTGGGCTACATACTGAGGCACTGTCTCAAAAAAAAGAAAGAAAGAAAGACAGAAAGAAAGGAAAAAGAAAATGGCAAAGGATAAGAAGGCTACAGCTTAGCACAAAACATGTAAGTGGGCATCATATATGCCACCAAACAAGCTACTATGGGGTGGGGCTGGGGCTCTAACCCAGGGACTCCCATGTGGTAAACACATGCTCCACCACTGAGCTACTTCCCCACTCTAATGCAATTTTGATGCAGTGCATACCATGACTGCCTGACTGCCTTGCACCACCCAGATAACCTGATCTGTTGAACCAGAAACTGCTTTCAATGGCCACCTAGAAGCCAAAATGTGTTGTCCCTGAGATCACACTATGCATTAAAAAACAAATACAGTATAAAAGACTTTGGAATTTGCTGCTATTTATTGTTTTTTTAGCAATGTGCATAACTGAAAAGTTAATTATCTCTACTGTGAAGATTTAAACATTTTTCAAATAGCATCAATTTTTATGATCCAAGAATAAAATAATATTACAACATAAACATTTCATAATTATTGCCAGTTCCTGTAAAAAGGATCTTATGTCCATTGTCTCTTAGCTTTTAATCAAAGCCCTATGAAATTTTGCACCTTTTTAAAAACTATACAGTGTAGATCACTGAGATCTACAAGAAGGTAACCAATTGCCCAAGGAGTTGATAAGTGGCAGAAGCTGCATTTAAACCTATGTCATTTCATTCAGGAACCATATACTTAAATACTGCACAGCAATGCTTCTACATCATAACATCAGAAAACGCAGCCTCAATGGTGAAGAAACAGCGTTTTTTAAAAGGGCTTTTTAAAAAATGTGCTGACTTTCCTTCAAAGGCAGGAAGCATTCTCTTCGTTAAGTAGTAAAGAATCTCGAGGACGAATTGCAGGTAGGTGGCAAACGGCCTAAATGGTAGGATTAAACTAGATGCTGCCTGGGTACTGCACTTGTATACCGCACAAGACTCGCCACACAAGTTGGACAATGCCTGAACTGGCCTTGCTCAGGTTCAACTGGACAAGTCCACTGATCACTTGCTTAGCAATCACAGCAATGCCAAGTTGCCAAAAGATTTGAAATGCTTACTCGTTTTCCATACTTATCTCAAGACCCATTGGTAAGAAACAATTTGTCCAGCAACAATGTGTGGACCACATTTTGAGTAGTACCAATGCAGATATCAGTTTAGCACACAATTAAAATATGCAAACAATGAATGGATTAGATGACTGGTTTGTATTCTCTCTCTTTCTCTCCACACACACACATACACACACACACACACACACACACTTTCCTGAATATTTACTGAGACTACAGTAATGGACAAAACAGATCGAGTACCTGCCTTTAAGGAGCTTACGTTTTAATTCAACTAATGTTTTGATATACAGTGGTCCAGGTAATATATTAGAATTTTTGTTCAATTCATTTAATCTCTCTGAACAAGTTTTCCCGCTTCATAAGGCTCAGAGACCTATTCATGGTGTTATTTGTAGGATTAAATGAAGATACTGTGGAATCATTTTTAGAATTGTAAAATGGCATACCAACACTAGGTCATATTTTTTTTCACATGTCCTTTTTGAGAGCAGGTACAATATCTTCCTATTTTTGCATCCTCTGTAAGGGTAAGATCTTGGTTAGTAGCAAGCTTCAGTTAAGGTTTGCTGAATAAATGTGAATAAGGCCCTGTATGTGTGAAGCACATTTTTTGTTTAATATTATATTAGTCCCTCAAATTCTTTTTTTTTTGTTTTGTCTTTTTGAGACAGGGTTTCACTATGTGGTTCAGGCTGGCCTCGAACTCACTTTGTAGTCCAGGCTGGCCTTGAACTCACAGGGATCCTCCTACCTCAGCCTCCCAAGTGCTGGGATTACAGGCGTGAGCCACCACACACAGCTCCATCCATCCCTCAAATTCTCAAAATCCATTATACCAGTGGAAAAAGTACATTAGGTATGGCAGAGTATAGAACACGAAATTCTACTCTTGTTATAGATTTTTAAGAATTCAAGATCTAAAAATACATTTCTAAATTTGTATTAGATGTAAGGCTCTTTGTAGTGAATTTTATAATCTGAATGCTTCTTGAAGACCTTTTCCATAAACGGATCCTGGAAGTAGCTCTACTGGTTTTGCCAGGTCCAAGTATACCTACACTCTCGAGGATTACAAGCTATAACTGAATTGTAAAAGTATCCTAAGTCTGGGAAGCATTTGGAAGGAATTCTCAGGCAGTAATAACACAAAATAATTTCATAATAGCAAATGGGGTAAAGACATGCTCTTTGAGGGTAATTAAAATGCAGTAACCTGGACAGAGTGATATTTAGTAACTGGAATAAAAGGAATATACAAAATATACCACAAGGCAACACTGCTCCATGGTAAGCACAAAGAGAACTTTGTACTTTGAGGGACTTGAGAGGAGGGGAAATTCTTTAAAGACTCCAGGTAGGAGCTGCAATACAGTGTAAGACTGAAATATACAGTGAGTGTTTACATTTTTAAAAATTATAGTAAATGATAGAGTAAACGATATGCTGTCATTAATCTCCCTCAAAATACTCCCCCTCACTTTGCATATAATTATTCCATCATTCTTGCCACTGTCTGCACCAGTTCTGGGTATTCTCTATCATGAGCATCTTTATGAGGTGTGATTAAAAATTTGGTGAATGTTCTGTACCATTGAGCTGAAAGGCACACTTGTGAAACCATTCTGGTGGGTCCTCATCTACCTTATTCATGAGATCTGGTATTGTGCAACTTCTGGCTCCTTTACAGAAGTCAAAATGACCATGAAAGGTAAACCCTTTGAATCCATTCAGGACACTGAGGCAGCCACAGCAGCGTAACTGAAGATGCTCAGGAAAGAGGACTTCAAGAACTGCTTCAGAAAGTGACATGAACAGTGGCATACATGCATCCAAAGCAAGAGGGAGTATTTTGAGAAGGATTAATGGCAATGTGTCTTTTACTGTAATAATTTTTTAAAAAATTTAAACATTCACTGCATTTTTCTATCATACCTTTGTATGAGATAGGATTCAAGGATGCGAGGGTTTCAACAGATTTGGGGTGTGAGAGAGAGGATGGGAGGTATCTGCAGCAGGCAGAGAGTTTAATGAGTTCGCAGGAATCACAGCAAGTAGTTTGCCGTACCTGTATGGTATCGTGGACAGTAAGACTGGAAACGGCTGGAGAAACAGTTGAGCAAGTGTCAGATTGAGTAGTCGTACTTAATATGATGGGGAACTACTGACAGCTTCTAAAAAAGGTACTTAAACTCATTCATGTATTATTTTGATCCATTTTCTGTGGCATTTGGCACAATAAACCTTTGGAATTTATCTTGAAAAATAAAAAAGGGTTGCCATGATCTGGCCACTGCTTAGGAAGATGGTTCTGCCAGGAGCATGAGATGAACAGGAAGCAATGCAACTAAGCAGGAGACTGAATCAGGGAGCACAGCAAATGTTCAGACTGGGGTGATCAATGCTGGACCTAGGATCGGGGCAATGGAGCCAGGGAGGGAGGAGCAGAAGGAACAACCATTACATAGACAATATCTATACCTGTGCTAGACTCCATACTGGCCCTCGCCATGTGCAGCCATTTAAATATAAATTTAACTGAAATTAAATAGGACTTAAAATTCAGTCCCTCAGTTGCATTTGCTAGATTGATAGCTACTCATGGACTCGTTTCCACCACGGGAGAATGTTCTATTGGACAGTGCAGATTAATAAACTTGGAGAACTAACCAAGCATAGGGACAAGGCAAAAGGATTGAAGGAAACTGAGGTTTGGCTGCTTGGTTAGTGAGAAAGGTGGTGCCATGAGAAGAACCACGATTTAGGAGTTGAGATGTCATTCAGCTTCTGTCAAACGCCAGAAGGGGCTGGGGATTTAGCTCAGCGGTAAAGCACCTGCCTGGCAAGCGCAAGGTTGTGAGTTCGATTCCTGGTACTGGAAGAAAAGACAAAAAAAAAAAAAAAAAAAAAAAAAAAACGCCAGGTGAGGTAACAGCCTGCACACAAACGACCGTGTGTCCATGGTGTGGGGAAAGCGAGGTACTCAGGGGTCTCCCAAAGCTTGTAAAAGAGCACAGGCAGTATTGACCGGCTTACCCCCTGGTGTGCTCCTGGAAGGTTACAAGTGGGTTGTCCGGTCCCTCAGCCTCTCCAGGACCACTGGCCAGCGTACACTGCCGCGAGGGAAGCACCCTCACAGCTTTGCTTTCCCTACTCCGTGGTGCCAGCTGGAACCCTTTCTTCCTTGTCCCCTAGCTGCCTCACTTCCACATGCTTGACGCTTGGAAAGTCCCCTTGCCTTCACTTGTTCGACTGCTTCTTCATTTTAGAACTATTCCTTCCCACAGGGGCTACTTCTGTTTATGTTTCACTCTTAGCTTAAATTCCAAGACCTTTCTGTAGAATCACTCCCTTGCCTAATACCCCAAACCCCTCTCAAAGTGCATCAACAAAACCCATTCCTGGTCAAATCTGACTGTCCCACACAACAGTGTGTGGCTGGAAGAGAATCACACCACCTAGCTAAGTGGTCTTGCTTTAAATACATGACCACCAACTCAAGAGGGCCCTCAGCATTGTCCACACTGTGCTTTGCTAGTCACTTTTCCATTCTTCAAGGGGATTATTTCTCACCTTCTTCTAGCCCTTAAACAGCCAACAACCCCTCCCCACACACAGCTTTGTATTGCACAGAACAAAGGGATGCACACAGACCCGAACTTACCTGGGAAAATGTACATACACGGTGTGTATGTGTGTGCGTGAGTATGCTGGATGCCAAACTACTAGAAGGTACCACTTCTCGGGTAGAGCAACTAGAAACGAGCCCCTTCCTCCAGGCTGAACTGGTGCCATGGGGCAAACGCCTGGTGGTAAAACAAGTGCTACATTTCCGCTCCCACCTGCCTCCTTGCTCTGCCGAGTATGCCAGCATCAAATGTATACCCGGATCTTCCTGCAGCTACACCCATGTGCTATGCCTTCCCTCAGAAAACGTTCTGTGAATGGACTGTCCTTGCTCTTAACCGAGGCCCACCCCTCCACCTCTGTGTTAGGTCCTATTGCTTCTTGCTTGCTTGCAGACAATCTTTTTCCATTTGTCTGCTCTCCTCCAGCTGATTCCAGTTTATGAGCATGAAGAAGCTTCTCCTATTTTAAACTACCCTCCCTTGATCCCAACACCCTTCTAACTGGTGCCCATCTCCTAGCTGCTCTTCACAGGAAAGCTCTCCCTCACCTCTTAGTGTCCTAACACACCCTACTCAGACTTTTTCTCCTACGGCTGTTTTGCAAGAATTTCCATCAAGGTCATTAGCAAGCTTTATCTGGTCAAATTCAGCATTTAAATGCTCTGTCTTTAACAGGGAATGTGGTTTAGTAGAATGTTTGCCTAGCATGTGCAAAGCCCTGGATTCAGTCCTCAGCACCACAAAACCAAACAACCACCAAAAAAAACCCCAAAATAAAAAGAAAAAACCCTATCCATCTAATTAGACTGATCACTCACTCTCTCCTGCCAAATTCTAACACTCTGCCAAGCCCCCCACCTCTCAAATTGGGGACTGAATCCAGGATCTTCAATTTGAGCCACATCCCCAGCCTTTTAAAATGTTTGTTTAATTTTGAGACAGGGCCTCCCTAAGTCTCCAGGTTGCCCAGGTGGGGCCCAAAATCCAGATCCTCCTGCTTCAGCCTCCCACAGAGCAGAGATTACAGGCCTATGCCACCACACCTGGCCCTTCTCCTAAACCTCCAAGTAGTGGAGCACCTCTTGGTCCTCTCCTAAGTGATTCTATGTAAACCTGAGGCTTAAGAGCATGTGCCAATGAACCCCAAATTTATATCTCCAGATTTACGCATCTAATTGTTTACTCAACATCTCCACTTAGATGTTTAACAGGCACCTTAAACAGAGAACTTGATTTCCCACACTCCAGATTTGCTCCTCCTTGACTATTTTCCATCTCATTAAATGCACCAGCCCTAATCCAGTCATCAGGGCCTGAATCTGAGAACCATCCATGACCTTCCCTCACACTGTCCCTTCATCCAAATCCATCCCAATCAAAATGTATGTAAGTAGCACTAAAATAAATAAAATATAAAACAAAATGGTCCTTTTCTTACTCTGTCCTTTGCTGTCATCCTAGTCCAAGGTAGCAAGAACAGCCTTCTTTCTAGTCTCCTTGGGGAGGTTTTTTCCCTACCCTATTGTGTATTTCACATGCATAGCGATATTCACTTTGTTTGGTTATTTTTTGCCTTTTTGAGACAGGGTCTCATTACGCAGTTCAGGCTGGCCTTGAGCTCATTTTGTAGCCCAGGTTGGTCTCAAACTCACAATGATCGGAGCGCCTGCCTCAGCCTCCTGAGTCCTGGGATTACAGGCATACGCCACCACACCCGGCTAGCAATATTAATTTTAAAAATGTGAATCACCCTCCCAGGGCTTACCATCGTTCTTACAATGCCCCATAGGCTTCACAGGCTCTGGCTGCTTGCCCAGACCTCTGGGCATAAGTACTGCTACGTTTTGGTTGGCTGACTCTGCTTAGCAATAGCGGACTCTTGCTCTTCCAAAGAGCATCTTCACACGTCCGCACTTACAGCTGGTTTTCTCTCAGCCTAGAAAGACTGTTCTTCTCTTTCATTTGCTACGATTTTTTATTTTTTTATTTTTATTTTTTGTCTTCTTGAGACAGGGTCTCGCTATGAGTTCAGGCTGGCCTTGAGCTCACTTTGTAGCCCAGGCTGGCCTCAAACTCGCAACGATCCTCCTGCCTCAGCCTCCCAAAAGCTGGGATTACAGGCGTGCACCATCACGCTCGGCTTTGCTGGTTTACTAGGCTCCTTCTTTCCTGTCTTGTGTGTGTGTGGACAAAGGTCTCCTCTGAGAGGCAAAATCTGACTGGCTCCAAAGTTACTCAGTACGCTGCTTTACTTTTCTTACCACTATCACTACCTGAAATTGTTTTGTCTTCCCTCTCTCCCTACATTAGAACGCAAACTCCACTAGGGCCTTGGCTTGTCTATAGCTTTACCCCGAGTCTAGAATAGTGCCAAGAACATATTAAGTGCTCAATTAGTACTTATAAAATGGATGTGGTCCCTCCCAATTTTATTCCACCGAAATCTTTGACCTGCCCTCATTTCATTTCCGTTCTACCCCGCCCCCTTCCCCAAGATGCACGCTGTGAGGCCGAAGCTCCCTTGCAGTGCAGCTCTCGGCTCTCCCCACCCCCTCCCTCGCGGCTCCTTTAAGCGGACTTGGACCGACAGGGGGAAGGCGGGGCCGAAAGCTCCCCGACGCGGACTCGCAGGGGCGGGGCGGGGCTGGGGGCGGGGCCTGCG